GTGCAGACAGAGATCCTACAAATACGACTGGTTTAATGTGTTATTTATGTAACTTAACAGATTATTAGTTTGGTTTTAGCCTAATTATTGTGTCTCATTATTCATTTACATTTTTAGCTCATCATTTAACTCCTAGCAATATTTTAAAAAATTAATACTAATGTTATTCATTAATTTATATTACGTTTTGCTAATTTCAGTGCTTTTAGCAATCATCGAATCCATTTGGTATTAGTTTTTCTTTTATTATTATTATTTGTGTTTTATTAGTTTTGTCTAATCGTGACTTTTCTCTAAAAAATTTAATTCTATTAGATTATTATGGTATTTATTTTTTATTAATAATATTTGTCATTTTTTACTTTTAGCTGATCATTTAATTTACTTTAGATTAGATTTTTATTTTATTTGTATTATGTTTAGCTATTCTTATTTAGAACTCACTACTTATTATTTGCATTTTTTTCTCATTTATTTTTACTACTTTGAGGTAACTTGAGTACTTTTGGCTACTTTTAGCTAACTAGTTAATCCATTTAATGTTTGTGCTTTATTACTATTTATGTGCATTTTTACTTTTTATTACTTTAAGACAACTATTTCATTACGTTTAGCTAACTTTTAAATTTAGTCATTTTTTAAAATCAGTATGTATGTACTTAGCTGTTAGCATACTTTGCTGTTAGCTAACTGTTTCATGCAGTGTAGCAGGCTACATTGAGCTAACTAGCTAGCATTTTTTGCTAACCATTTAATCCATTAATTTTGGCTCTTTTCCTATCGTTCATTCCTTTAAGCAAACAGTTACATCCATTTATTTTAGTTCACTGTTTAATCCATTAATTTTGGACATGTAGCTAACTTTTTAGTCCTTTTAGCTACCAGTATAATCTGTTAGCTGATCATTTATGGCTTTAGCTAACTTTGTAGTGCTTTTCGCTAACAATATAATCTGTTAGCTGATCATTTAGGACTTTTAGCTAACAGCTTGACCAGTTACACTTCACTATTTTCTCAATTATTTCAACTATTTTATTCCAGTTAAATAACAGAGTTGAGTCCATGTGTGTCCTTCATTCTCCCTGTAGCTGATGTTTTGATCTGTTTAGATGAGTTTCCACAGTTCATGTTCTGTGTGCTGCAGTGACGAGTTTTTAAATTGAATTTCAGTCGCCTGAGGACGTGTCTTTGTGTGTTTTAGTGTCGAAGCCCTTTGACCTGTCTGCTGGATCTTAAGCTGTAAATCTCACAACCGAACACGCCGTGATTTGTGTAAACAAACCGAATCTGTTCTGCAGATTCAGCAGGAATGTGTTCGCCTCGACCCCCTGAGTCTGGAGGTCAAAACAAACCGAGAACCATCGTTTCTGAGCAACAACACAAGCTGTGCCGTAAAGCAGGACATGTTTGGTTTGTCTTAAGGGGTTTTCTTGTCTTCAGGATCCTACCTGGAGTAAAGAAACTCAATCCTGTGAGAAAAAGTTCACGTCTAACCTGGAAGAAAGGCCGAGTAAATAAACCTGCAGGACTTTCCCACACTAACGTTTGACTTTAGGGACGTTCGCTTGGAGAAAAAAACAGCTCGAAAACTTTAGTAATCTGCATGTGTGGAAGTTAAAGGTAAAGTTAAATCCATTTTGCAGGCAGTAAATGGTGAAATAATGCTTGTGTTAGACTTTATCTAAGAAATAATGCATTAATTTCATAAAATAACTTGTCAAGACAGTAGAGTAAAGACAAATTCAGGTAAAAAGAGATTTAAAGGGCTCATTTTCAGCAAAGAAAAGTGAGAAGGTCGTGCATTTAAAGAAGACAAACAAGAAGACAAGCTGCTGATCTTCATTTAAGGAGCGCTTTTCAAAATAAAAGACTCAAAATGAAAGCGATTAGTTGCACAAATCTACCTAAAAATGAGCTTTCAGACATTTTAATAGGCATTAATGTTGTTGCTTGTTCCACATTTTCATTCCTCTGCAGCTTTTTCTTCTTTTAGCCTTTAGCGCCCTCTTGTGGCTCTTTTACCAAACAATGAACTGCATTGTTTTCTTCTTATCTGCAATAATCACGTTACAGCGACAGATATGTAGGATAAATGTGATTAAAGTGGCCATTAAAATCCATATTTTTATATTTATAGTGATTTGCTGTTGACATTAATTCCCTCTGTTGTGATAAGTGGCATCAAACTCTAATTAATTACCTGTAAATAAAGTTAAATTGTGTTTTTTTATGAGCAAAATAGCAACACTGATGTAACTGTAAGCTGATAAGTAACTAAACATGTCATGTGTCAATCAGTGAACTCTGTCCCAGACTGATGTTTAACAGCTGATCAGAGTTCAGGCTAAATATTAACTAATTACACCCATTTCTAATTATTGCTATTTAACAGGATGCAGAGTGAAGCAGCTGCAGCCGTGTGGACGTTTCACTGAACATCGCTGCTCATGTGTCTCCTCTGGAGGACTTTACCTGTTCAGACCACGTCTCTGTGAAGTAGGACATGTTCAGGTCCACAGGTCACCTAAGGTTAAAGGAGGCGTTTCTGGGCATGCGCAGGCAGCAAGTTAGAGTCAAGCAGCAGTGTCAGACAGGAAACCCGGTGCTGCTGTATTTCAAATTAAAGCAGCTTTGTTTAACTCAGTTAAAATGAGTAAACAAGCATTTTTTAATTTATATTTTCTGCCTGACTAGGTAACCTCAGAGCCCAGATTGTGGAATTTACAACTTGAACTGTCACTTCTTTGGGAAACTTTATTTATTATGTGATATTTAATATAATAAAATGCTTTATATTGTTATAAACATGATATATTAAACACAATTTTAGAAGAGAATGTGAGTAATTGCATAAAATTAAGCGAAGTCTGTCACTCTTATAGCACAGAAAACAGTAAAGTGCTTCCCAAGTTTAAATGTCACGTTTAAGACATACAGATACATTCGACTAATTTAATTTCTGAAGATGCTGCAATGTAATTTATCTAAAAATGACCTTTCTCATTTAAATATTAAAGTTAAGAGAGGTGTAATGTTATCTATATACAAATCAGTAGTTTACATGTTAAGGTCAAGACCATCTAAAATTCTATATTATTAAAATTCACTTTTACTTCTACAATATTAATTATTTAAAAATAAATAAAAATGACCTGACAAGTCAACATACTAGGATAAATAATTATTTATTATTTTAAATTATGTGAATTTAACATTAAGGTTAAAATCCTAAAATATTATTTAATATAAACATTTAAATATTAAGTTAATCATGATTTTTTTCCACAAATTTACCCTACATTGAAATACAAAATAAAACCATGCAATTTTGTTTATTATGCAAATTTACCTGCACATGCAAATGTTTAATTTCGATTTCTAACTCATTTTTAACTTTGTTTATATTATTTATTAGATACATATTCACTTTTTAGTGTGAAATACTGAAGTCGTGACATCTTTTTATGCCTGAGAAATATTAAAATTGTGCAAATTAACTAATTCACAACCCAAATTTCTAAAACAAAGACTTCGTTTTACATGTGAACACTTGCAGCTCCTTTATAAACAGAAGCGGAAGTCTTTTATTTTGAAAGTCTCCATAGCAGCGCTATGTATTCGCGCAGACTTTACTCTCTTGTTCACTGCTGCGTGAGTCGCACTTGAAAGATGTCTGCAGGCAAACGGGGAGACACTTTATGCTTCTTTATCAACGGGAAAAAGGTAAAAACAAATAAATAACCTTTCAATCCTCAAATTAGCAGTTTAGCGACTTTTAGCTGCTAGCTGCGGGGTTTTTTTAAAGCTAACGTCTGCAGGAAATGAGAGTTTTCAAAATTCAGGTGGCTTTTTTTTTTTTTTTAAACCACGACATCGCTGATCAAAATTCTGTTCGGCCTCGTAGCACAAAGTTACGTCGATTTAGAGGATTAGAAATGAGTTAAATTAATCTTAAAAGAGGCGTCAAGTGAAAAAATGCGGCCGGTGTTGCGGTTAATTTGGTGCCCGTCAGATTTGGTGACAGATGAGCGCTGATTGGCTGCTGACCAGACAGGAGCCCAACTGACCCGCAGTGACAAATCAGTGACTTGTTATTGAGTTTCCAGCCGAACAAAAACACCTTTAAACACTTTTACAGTTTACAGGTTTATATATTGTTTAAAATCCACACTAATGCGCTGAGCAGGTCGCTGAGCCGTGAATGTTAATTATGTTTTGATTTTGCTGATTTACAGGCATCAAAAACAAGATACTAAACCAACCTGCACTATAATAAAGTTAATGTTTTATTATTATATAAACAGCGGACACTTTTATATGCCATTCTATATCAAGTTAGAATTACATGATAAAGCATTTTTAGGTCAGAAAATGTCGCTATCACGCTTTATTTTTAGTGGGAAGTCATTAAAAGCAGCTTTTAATCATGAAATTCATCAGATACAGAAAGTTTAAACCGATCTGAATCCATTTCACGCCATCTGACAGAAGAATGGCTCGACCAGGGAGAATCCCAACGGACCCGAGTGTGAAATTTATAACTTGTGATTGTGTTTACAGCCGAAAACAACAACTGTTAAACACTTTCTGAGCTTCTACGTTCAATCTGAGAAAGTTTAATGCATTTTTTTAAAATCCTGAATCTACAATAGCAGCCATTGTAGTGTTTTAAGGCTCTAAACTTATTATATTTGTTAAGTTTTTTGGCTTTTGTTTAGAGTTTGAACTAACATGGATCCGGTCTGCAACCAAATCGCACCATCAGAGGAAATTTTGATGTATTTTTAAAATCCTAAACCAACAAACAGCCAGTGTTGTTGAACATGGGTCAGTTTTTAATGTTTACCATAATATTTAGATTTTACAAGGGTACTGGCGCTTTATTATGAAGCTTTGAGAAGCCATTTTAAGCGAAGAAACCAGCGTGCATGAAAATAAAGTTCAGATATTAACACATATAAACAGCTCACAAAAAATCATACTTTTATATATAAAACTATATAGTTTAGTGTTGTATGGTTGTAAACTTGCTGCATCACGGGTAGTTTTAGTTCAAGAGTCATAAAAAGCTGCTTTTGTCTTCGTTAAATTATATAAAAATAAACTTTGACCTCTTATAGATCCAGTTTGCTACCAGCTCACTCAGTTTTATGCCTTTTTTAAAACCTTAAATCTACAAGAAAAGCCAGAAATTAAAATTTATTAATGTTAATGTTTAGATTTTACTAGTGTACTAGCACTTCATGTTAACCTAAAAATAATGACTATGTAATACTTGCTCTAATACTTTTATATCGTGAGGCTATTCCCTGTGAAGGTCATACGATGTTATCTAGTATTTTAAGGTTGTAAACTTCCTGCATCTCTTGTGTTTTTGATAAGAAGTCATGATAAGTGGCTTTTTTTAAATGGAAAATTACATGAAAATGAAATTCCAACTAATATGGATCCAGTTTTCTGTCATCCGTTGGTTTGTTTCTCAGATATTAAATGTGAGTTTGGTCGTTTCCTGCAGATCTCCTGGTACATTACAGCCCTGTGTGAGCATCGTGATGATCAGATTTGAATTATTTCTGTTTTATTCCTTTATAACTGAGCCGATACAGTCCAGTACGGTGGACTGAATTACTGCCACGAGTCAGATGAAGATTTATTTATTCGTGAGAAGAAGCACAACGAGAACAAAACGTCGCCTCGCAATTCAACTGCAAAATTAATTAACACGATACGTGCACTTAAAATGATCCACGCAAATCAGGTTTATTTGCAAAATGCACAAACTTTCAGCTGTTTTGTTTTTAATCAACAACTCAAACAAGAACAGTTTAAAAAGCTCAACAGGTGGTTTCTCCAGATTCAAGACGCCGCTTTTGAAATATGGTTGAGTCAAGAAAATTGTCCCAAAAGTTTACATGGAAAAAACCTAGCAGAGGTGCTAAATGTTCCCAGAGGTACTGCTGGAAATATCAAGTTCAAAGTTAAAGAAGCAGCGGCTGGACGATCTGGACGAAGGAGACCAGAAACCATCGAGTGACTCCAAAACTCCTGCAGGTTCCAGCGTCTACTCACTAACCGCTGAAGGTCTCTATGCTCCAAACCAACACCCCCACTGACCCCAAAAGCACGAGGAAAGTCGCCTCCAGTACGCTCAGAACCGTATAAATGGGCCACAGAAGTTTGGGGGTTCTGTTGTGTGGAGCGACGACACAAACACTTCTTGGGCCAGCGGCCCGGCGGTATGTCTGGAGGAGGAACAATGATGATGCCTTCTGGGAGCCGAGATGGATTCAGACCAGCAAACCGGAGGGGCAAACGTCTGTGAGGCAGCTGAAGCTTCTGGCTTCAGAAGAAGTCCTGGAAGGTACCGGAGCGGTCAGCATGCTCGTCTGGCCTGAAGAGCTGAAGAAGGCGCCTGCAGCAGGTCGAAGCAGCAGAACGGAGCTCGACTGAGTGTTTAGAGAGAGCAGGCGTCATTAAAACAGCACATTGGGTTGAATTTATAGAAACCACCTGTAATATTAGCTGTGTTGGGCTTTTAAAGGGCTCTTGTTTGAGTTGTTTATTAAGAAACAGCTGAAAATTTGCACATTTTGCCAGTAAGTCTGACAATTCTGAGTGTACAGTCGTCCTCAAACGCATTCACAGCCTCCCATTAAAGAAGGAAGAAAACAGCTTTAGTCACTGAAATAAGCTGAAATTGACAAAAGTAATAAATAAAAATTTTATGAAAATCATGACGTTGCTTTTGAATTGTGGTTTAACAGAAATATTACAAACAAAACAAAAAACAAACAAGCATGATGGGACCGTAGACTCATATTTAGTTGAACTGTTTGAGCCAATCACTGCCATCAGGTGTTCCTGTAACTCTCAGTCAGACGTCTGCACCTGTGGACAGATGTTCTGGTTTCACTGCTCATCAGCAAAGGCCTCTGATTCGTCCGGGACAGTTTGTTTTGTTTTTTTAAAACAATTAATAATGAATAAAAACAGCTGAAACAGACACAAAACGGCAAATGACACTGACAGTGACTGAAAAACAACCGACAACAGCAGGTTAAAATGACAGAAAACAGCAGAAAACATCCTGAAACGGCGACAGGAAGTGACTCAGAACAGACTCAAGAAAATGAAAACAAAAAAAAAACTGCGACTGAAAAGAACCCCGTCACTGAAATAAGTTGAAATTGACAAAAGTAATAATAAATAAAAATGTAAAGAAAATCGTGACGGTGCTTTTGAATTGTGGTTCAACAGAAATATATTAAAAATAAATAAATAAAAAAAACAAGCATGATGTGACCGTAAACTAATGTTTGAGCCATCAGGTGTTTTCTGTAACTCTCAGTCAGACTTCTGCTCTAATTGGACAATTTTTTTTTCTTTTTTTAAAATTTTATTTTTTAACCACAATCCAAAACCAATGTCTTATTTCACTACAGTATGATTTAGCAAATTTTTATTTATTATTACTTTTTTCTGTTTCTACTTATTTGAGTGACTGTTGTGAGTTTTTCCTTTTCTTTAATGGATTAGAGGACGACTGTAGCTGTAGCCGCAGAGTAAGGAAACAAAGCCGCTTTGTGTGTTTTAATCCATCGGAAGCGGTGGCGTTGTTTTCCGTCTCGGCCTCAGTGTTGATTCGTGTCCCATCAGGTGACGGAGGACCATGCGGATCCCGAGACGATGCTGCTGCCCTTCCTCCGGGAGAAGCGTATCCTTCAGATCGGCTGCAAACCCGAGAGTTCATTGTCATGTTCTCAGCAACAAACAAACGCTCGTCCTTGACTGTTTTCTCCCCCAGTGAGGTTAACTGGAACCAAGTCCGGCTGTGGCGGTGGAGGCTGCGGCGCGTGCACGGTGATGGTGTCGCGCTACCAGCCCGCGACCAAGACCTTCACGTATCCTTCATGCTGCTGGGATGTGACCAGACGCTGCTGCTTCAGAGCCACACGCAGGCTTTAATATGAGCCTTTTTTTAAATCATTTGTTGGTAAACGTTTGCTAAAATAGGCCAGAAAATGGATTTTCAGCCGTGTTGGTTGGTTGGTTAAATTCCCCCCCCCAAAAAAAACCCCAAATAATTTCACATATTTTTCCGGAAACGAGGGATGTTGGCCGGTTAGGAGCTCTGAGCATTCGCAGCTGAATGTCGTGGCAACGAACCAGCACGACATCTGTTTGTGTTCGTCGCTGAGGAGCAGATAATCGATCACAAACGAGCCGAAACACGCTGACGGTTTAGAAGCAGAAACGGAGGATTGTTTTCAGCTTTTCCATGTCTTCGGCTGTTCAGTTGTTTTTAATTATAGAGATTATTAATAAGTAATCTTAGTGTGTGTAAACTTCTGACTCTGAAGGAAGTAATTTGTTGAGCACATAGAAATAACTTTGGTGATCCTGACTGACCTGAAACAGGAGAAGTTTCGTCGAACTCCTGGCTTCAGCTGTACGTACCTGCAGATACGTCGACAGATTTTCCAGCTGTTTGGTTTGCTGCAGGTGTCAGATTTGTACAGTTTTAAATAAGAAATGTGGCGTCTGACACCGAAGTATTCCTCCTGCTTCACACAATAGTGACGTATCTGATCGATAAATGGAAAACAAAACTAAAACAAGGGCTCCGATGTGTCAGATTTAACACTGTCAGAGTTCAATCTCTCCTCCTGTTGTGTGGTTTTGGCGTTTCTTTTTACTCTCTAGTTTCCTTCACGCCGCCGTCAGACACTTCTCGGCCAACGCCTGCCTGCTGCCGCTCTGCCAGCTGCACGGTGCCGCCGTCACCACGGTGGAGGGAGTCGGCAGCACCAAGACCAGGATCCACCCGGTTCAGGTCGGTGCCGAGTCGCCGAGGAGCGCCCTCAGCCGCTCCGGGTGTTGTTCATTTGAACGGCTGCTGCTGTCAAACACTTGTCAAACACAGTGACCCGCTTTGACCTGCAACCTGCACAGAAATCTAAACTCAGACGCATTTTTTTATCACGTTCACACTTCAGGTTCTTCTTATTTTATTTCATTTGCATCCGTTAACTTAAATTCTATTAAATGAGTTGTTATTGTGTGTCTGCATCTTAAATTAAATTATAAACGTGGCCTCCGTAGCAGAGAATTTAAATAAGAGTTGAATGAAAATTTTAATTGAACACTTTTTGACCCTCTCTAGACTTTCATATGATAAAATTTATTAAAAATAAAGCTGAGTTTCCAGGAAAACAACGATGCAACAGCTTGAATCTGGACATCCAGCTCAGAGTTTCTCTCCCAGTTGTTCGTTATTAATAGATTTTACTACTTTTTCTTATTTTTTATGTCTCTTTGATAACATTTGAACATTTTTAACATTTGAAGAACACCTTTTATCTCATTCTTGATGGTTAAATAATCACATTAGAACTCTTCCTCCCATTTTTTTTAACCATTTGTGCCAAAAATCCACAATTTTTCATATTTATATATTAAAAAATCACAAAGGTTTCTCTTCCTGTCGTGCGTCAACGTGAGTTTTTCCTGATTCATTTTGCACACAGGTGTGTGTATAAATAGCAATAATCTGATTAAAACAAGGTCAGAGAGCCAAACGACTGCCAGAAACTGAACCTTTGTCCCGGAGCTATGAGTCAGCAAAAAAGCCGTCTCGCCGACAAAACGCTTCCTTTTCTGGAAGTGCAACAAAAACACACGAGAAGTCATCTGAAAGCTCGTCTGCAGCGGCGGTTTTGGATCATTGATCTTCTGGCTTCTCATGCAAACATCACAAATTAATTAAAAGAAGACACTCGTACCGTTACATTTCAATGCATGCTGTGCTTAATTTATTTATATCCATGAAAGTTTAGGACATTTTAATTCATATTTTTCTTTAAAAACGAGCTAAAATCTGAACATCTGTGTCGTTGCTGGCTGCCACGCTTCTTTTCATGGGTCCATATTTGAGCTTTATAAATGAAATGATCCAGTAAGCTTCTACTTTCACGCATTTGCAGCTTCCAAGTTGCTAAAAATGCTGATTTCAGTGATTCAGGTTTTGGGTAATGAGCTACTTGTTGGAGCAAGCTGTGAACACCAGCGTGCCAGATGGTGAAAACCCATTTTTATTGTGGTTTTTTGTGGTTGTTGTAAACTTGGAGGCGTCAAATAAAAGAGGTTAAGATGTGAAGACGTTCTGCCATTCCAGCCTCCCGGCTTTAGAAGAACTCGACCCAACTTTTCAGTCAGAACGGTGAAGTTAACCAACTTTGCAGCATTAACTTAATTGTGTAAGACTTTGATTAATTTGCTGACTAAAGGGGCCTGTTATGGACGTATCAACCGAAAACACAACCCGACTGCTTCAATGTTGTGCTTTCAGGAGCGAATCGCGAAGGCTCATGGATCCCAGTGTGGCTTCTGCACTCCGGGGATGGTGATGTCCGTGTACGCTCTGCTGAGGAACAAACCGCAACCGAGCATGGACGACATCACGCAGGCCCTGGCTGGTTTGTTTGCTCTGATTTGGATGTTGTCTGATGCTTAGGATGCGAACCGATCAGCCAGAACCTTAAAACCGCTCGTGCAGTGTTGTGCTGGTCCACCTTGGTGCCGCTCTGGAAGGCGTCCTCGTCGTAAACAAAAGTTTACATCCACTTGTAAAGGCCAAGCATCTCTATGTAGAAAGTAGTTTTTGTCAGATGTTCTTGGCCTCTTGGGTTCTTCTGAGCGATTACGATTGACTCCTCTGAGCCAGTATAAATAAGCTCTTCCTCCACCTTCTGGCTCGAAACGAAATTTGCTGCCGATCACGTCGACCCTAAAAAAAAAAAAAGGCCTTCTGGAGGAAAGTTCTGTGGTCAGCTGTTTGACCAGAAATATGTTTAAATGAGAGAATTTGAGCCCTTTAACTCCAAGAGCGCCCAACCTAGCGTCGAGCACGGCGGTGGCAGCATCATGCTCTGCGGCTGTTATAATAGAAAGACACATTTAACCAAATATTAGCATTGCTTTATGTGTATTTTTGACCAAGCAGGTTTTGTCAAATCCAGAAGATTTATAATAAATCAACAAAAGAATCAGAATGTTAAAAATCAGAGTCAACGCCTTGGGCTCTTGGTCGTGCTCCTCGAGTTGCACCTTAGAAGTTTTTGGGTCGTGGTGTTATGCAATTCCCTGCTGGGGTTTAGTAGTTGTGTTTACGTGAACGTTGAACACGTGACGACCTGTTGGTGGTTTTAATGTTGTGGCTGAACAGGAAGGAGGAAGTGAAATGTGAGAAGCTCAGCAGAGGAATCACTGCTCCTGGCTGTCTGTCACTTCTCATGGCTGATTGAATAGGACGCAGATTACTTCACGTTTTACTGTCATTATTAGGATTTCAGTAAAAGTATGTGGAAGTTGTTCTAACGCCTACTTTAGCGCAGTTAGCCGAGACAATGGTTAGGTTTCAGAATAAAAGCTTTCCTGATTTGTCTTTTTAGGAGAACAAAACCGACCACACTGAATGTTTTTAAGCACAAAGAAGCTCAACACGTACCAACACGAATGTAGAGCAGCTTGACTATTAAAATGATAATTGCAGCTCATGATAATCTTTTCAAAAAGTGGCCATAAATCTGCAGCCCTGTCCTCACTGTGTGCCGTTACTGTTTCTCCAGGGAATCTGTGTCGCTGCACCGGATATCGACCGATTGTTGACGGCTGCAGGACCTTCTGTCAGGTAACGTAGCTCTGGATTCGTCGACGCCGCAGCTTCGATTTCAGACCTGAAACATTTAAATTAATGCCAACAGGAAGCCAACTGCTGCCAAGCTAACGGAGGCGCCAACTGTTGCCTCAACGGAAACCCTGACGAACCCGAGGACGTGAGTTCAACTCTTTCTTCCCTTTGTGATTCAACAAATCGATATTTCTTTCTTCTTCTCTTTTACTGACCTTCTTTGCCTCTTTTTATTCTCTATTAATACCCGTTTTCTCCTTTCTCACCTGCAGGAAAAGCCACGGCTTTTCAAGGAGGAAGATTTTTTGCCGTTGGACCCGACGCAGGAGCTGATCTTCCCTCCAGAGCTGATTGTAAGTCACCGGATGCAACAAGTAAAGCAGCTCATTTTTTCTACCGGCTGGTTTGAAAACAACCCTTTTGTCCCCCGCAGCTGATGGCCGAGACGGCGAACCCGGAAACGCTCACCTTTCACGGGGAGAGGGTGAGCTGGGTGTCCCCCACCTCGCTGGAGGAGCTGGTCCAGCTGAAGAGCAAACAGCCTGCAGCTCCTCTGGTGATGGGCAACACCAACATAGGTGAGCAGTGAAGCAGGATTTATGGTTGGGGAGGGTTTTGGAAGATGCCCTTTCATCTAAACGTGCCAACGAAAGCACGGCTTGAGTGTCGAAATCAGAATTACAAACTGACATGTCCATAAAAATCAAACTGTCTTGGTTTGGAGCTAAAGTTTAAGTTGTCGTTTGTGGTTGAGTTCATGAGACAAATGCAGCATCAGTTCGTTCTTGGTGATTCTGAATGAGTCCTAACGTGACGGGGGGATGGATCAGCAGGTCACGCTGTTTATCAGCTGCTGGTAAATCATTTATCCCAAGTGAGGTTCAGTCTTTTGTTTATTAGTGCGTCATTTATGTTCTGTTTGATCTTAAGTGAATAGAAATATAATGCAAATAATGTTGTAGAAGTTCGTCACTTTATGAAGCAGCAATATTAACACCATCATGTCTGAATTCCATATTTTACTCCTTTTTTTGCTGTCGTTAATCGCTTCTCTTCTTATTTTGCTTTCCTCAGTTTGACACACGTCGTCCCTTTTTAATCAATCTTTTATCTTTTATATCTTTTTATTATTGTCTTATCGTGCTTCTGGTTTATGACGCCGCTTTCTCAACACCTGTTTTATTGAGTCCTTCATTTATGACCCGATGTTTGTCGTCGGGCTGTTGTTCGTATCGTTTTTATCGCTGTTATCTGATTGATTGAAGTGGTGTAAAAATCAGGTTTATAAGCTGCTTCACATGTGTTTATGAGGTTGAGCTGATTGACTGATAAACTTGAAACTCTGGCCTCTTTGTGCCGAAGGTCCAGACATGAAGTTCAAAGGCGTCCTCCATCCGCTGATCATCTCTCCGAGCAGAGTGAAGGAGCTGTTCGAGGTCTCGGAGACGCCACAGGGTGGGCGACGTGTCTGCTTTATCATTAATCATAAGAGATCTTTCCAGCTGTCGTTGCCGTTAACCCTCCTCCTCCTCTTCAGGCGTCTGGGTCGGTGCCGGCTGCAGCCTGTCCGAGCTTCGCTCTCTGCTGGAGAAGCTGGTTCCTCGGTTCCCGGAGGAGAAGACGGAGCTGTTCAGAGCCCTGAACCAGCAGCTGGGCAACCTGGGAAACCAGCAGATCCGCAATGTTGCTGTAAGGAGGCTTCACTGTCGTTTTCATTGACGTGGATTCAGGCAGTTCTTCCTTTTAAACCTCCTGTTTCTGTTTCTGTTAAACCAAAAAGCACCTTTTCTTCAGTGTTAGCCAAAACTGATCCTGAAGTAGTGCAAGAATCTCCTTTATTTATTTTGCAGAAACATGCAGAGTCCCTGAACCCTCTGAACTCCTGCAGGTGTTTTGCTCCTGTCACAGTTTTACTCACCGTTGGCTCATTTTTCACTTCAGTATAAGACGTCCTGCAGCTCTATGGAAAGAGAACAACCATGATTAGAAAGAGGAAGAACTTGTCTTTTGTGCTGTATGACACACTAAAATACATTTACAAACATCATAACTACATGCAACCACAGAGGAGGAGGTGAAGAGAGACGCTGAACAAGCTGCACATTTCTTCCACGTGTTGTCAGGAAACTTCCATTTTTAGTTCGTCTCCATCATGTGGATTTTCTTTGTCACTTCTGTCCGGTTATTTATTTTTGGTCCATCTCCAGGTCAGAGCCTGTATCCACATTATCCCTTTGAAGCTCCAAAACCAGCCACAAAGGAATAAAAGCTTAAAATCACTGACTTTCATCTGAATCACTTTATTCTACGTGTCACAGTTTTTAAGTCATTAGTGACTCAGCTGTGAACTACGGTCACGTGACAAGAGTTCTGGGAGTTTTCGGATGAACCGCAGGCCGTGTTTCCACAAAGCGGACAAGACAGAAGCAAAAAAAACAATAAATCCAAGAAATTCAACTTGCAGGACTTTATGTTGCAGTAAAAAATGAGCCTGTGGTGAGTAAAGATTTATCAAAAGACACCTTTAGTGCTGAAGTTTGCTTTTGTCATAATGTTCCCTCATGACAGAAGTCATAAAAAAAAAATCTGTCTAAAGCTAAAATCTTAAACTGTTCTCACCATGCAGAAGATTTAGTGGGTTTCCATCGAAAACACTTGATTTTTGTATATTTCATTGATTAAGCTTTTAAATTATGGCGACTCTTATACAGTCTGGAGATGTCTGATATGTACGCACTCACGAACACGTATTTGTCTTTTTTCTTTTTTGATTTCTTGGCTGTTAAATCGGAGATTTCTGCATAAAACCAAAGTTAAAAGCCTTTTAAGGAAGAAGACAGGAATAAGTTTGGAGCCTTTATCTTTATTAAATGAGCTTTGGATGTCAGGTGTTTCAAAGTCGGACCTCTTTTTTTTAATTTTGTGTATAAAAGCGAATCATTAGTTGTGATATTTGTGTTTCAGTCTCTTGGAGGAAACATCGTGAGCGCGTATCCAAACTCGGACCTCAACCCTGTTTTGGCTGCCGGCAACTGCAAAGTCGTCGTCGTTTCCAGCGGTGAGTCTCGGTGGGATTAAAAATAGAGAAAAACAATCTGTGCTGAGTAGAAACATGAACAAATCCTGCTTGAACCCAGCAGGAGGAAGACGAGAGGTTCCCCTGAATCAAGACTTCTTCATCGGGTTCGGAAAAACCGTCCTGAAGCCGGAAGAGATTGTCGTCTCTGTTTTCATCCCGTTTACCAGAAAGGTGCACAAATTCCCCCCCCCTTTTTTTTTTCTTTTTCTGAGCTTGTTCGACTCCATCATTTGTTAAAGAATTAAATCACCGTCACTGATTAGTTTCACCACAGAGTCGGATTTATTCAAATTAACGGCTTTGTGACGCTTTCGAAGGTCTTCAGTGCAGTTCTCAGTCACTAACTTCTGCTTTTATATTTTAAACGTGATATTTTAATGAGAAAAAAGCAAAAATTAAGGCATCTGGAATTGAATTAATAATAACCGGAGTGTTTTATTGAACTTTAAGCTTCTTCTCTGATTTATTGCAGCATAAAATCATCCGGTTCCTTCTGCTCGACCAACTCCGGTTTGCTTGAAACTCTTTTAGCATAAAATCTGGATATTTGTAAAATTTTAGACAGACATGTCAGATACTTTCTGAGAGAACTTTTTTTTTTTTTTTTTAAATGTCGACCCACTTTAAGCACTTTTATTTTTTTAAAATTTAATGCTACGTTTGATCTATAACATCTCAGTAACTGTTAAAGATAAAAGCCTAAAATTTTTACTGTTTATTCTCATAATGTCAGTGATTCAGAATCTGCAATATTAAACAAGTAGATCGAATAATGTCTGATTATGGGCGAGCTGAAGTATGAAAATGTTAAAACAAAATTGGACGCTTTTTCTTGGAAAGTATTTGACATATCGAGCTAAAATTTCACAAATATCTTTACAAATATTCGTTATTTATGCTCTGAAATTTTCAGACAAACCAGACATTGCTGAGCAGAAATTGTTTAATGATTAAAGCTGGAGTGCCGCCACTACTAAGCGCAGTGCCTCGTCTGTCCTGCAGGGGGAGTTGGTCCGAGCTTTCCGCCAGGCGCCGAGGAAGGAGGCGTCCTTCGCCACCGTGTCGACCGGGATGAGGGTGTTTTTCTCGGAGGGATCCAGAGTGGTTCAGGATGTCAGTCTGTACTACGGAGGAATGGGTCCGACCACCGTTAGCGCCGCCAAAACCTGCGCCGCCATCGTCGCAAAGTATTGAAATATTTGCGTCTTTGTTGTTCTTTTTGCGTCACTTTCTTTCCCCTTCCTTTTGGTTTCCTAGTTCCCTATTTTCCCGTTGATCCAGCTTCCACTTGCCTCTCCACCCTTCTTCCTCAACGTAGCTAAGAAGTAAAGATCTAATCTTCTCTGGTTCCCTCCGTCAGGCCTTGGGATGACGAAACCCTCAGCAAAGCCTACGACATCCTCCTGGACGAGCTGGTTCTCCCTCCGTCGGCTCCCGGAGGAAAAGTCGAGTTTCGTCGCTCCCTGACTCTCAGCCTCCTCTTCAAGTTCCACCTGGAGGTCCTGCAGAAGCTCAGAGAAACGGTAAAACGCGTGTGGTTTCTCTGCTGCGACGCAGTGTGACGCGGTCGATCCCGCAGGAGTTTCACACCACTGACTTACACTTTTACAGAATGTGATCACGGATGAGCTGCCGGAGAAGATTTCGCCGTTACCCAGAGAGATCCAGCCCAGCCTGCAGGAGTTCCAGGTCAGGATTCCTATAAAGCCAGCTGTGAAAGCAGTAAACGTGCTATAATATTAAATTAATGACGATGCTCTGTTGCCAAATAATCAGATAAAAGACAAAAGAAATATCAATACAGTAACTTCTTAGCATTTTTTCTGCACATGTGCACAACAGGATTGCTAAATTTAGCGCATAAATACTGTAGATAAGAGGCTGTACCATTTACTCATTTGAATATATTTCAATTAGCAATTTAAATTAATATTAATTTGGGTGAACAGGCACTTTAAAGAGTATGTACGCTGTATAACGGAAACTAAACACGCAATGATATTTTAGCAAACTGCAGCAACCCGTGGTTCCAAAAAAATGTGTTTTTGTCGTTACTAAGCTGCCATATTTTGGCAGTTTCTTAAATAATCTGTAGGTTTGACAAGCATCCTTTCACACGTACAATAATGTCACGACTGTAAATAAAACAACAGCAGTAAAATCACTGATTTATTTCCTTTTAAAACAGCAATCTGACGAGTGTTTTTGATGCAGTAGCAGCAAACCTACAGTCCAGCACGGTGGTGGCATTATTATGCTGAGTTTAAAGTAGAAAAGGAACATTTAACCATATTTTTGACCCAGCAGGTTTAGTTAAATCCACAAAATCGCGAATAAAACTATGAAAGAACTGAAGTGAATGTTTGTTTTTCATTGGAGGAGTTAAAGGAGTCATTGGAAACTCAAGACGAGAAGACGTAAGCATCTGTTCACAGCTGTGTTTGTGTGTTTACATGTGATAGATGGAAAAATGTGAAGTGAAGAAGAAACTATGAAAGAAGTCACTGTATCTGTGATGTTTACGGACCTGCAACCTCTTTAAAGTTTTGTTTTGTAATCCTGCCAGTAGTTCCCATTTTTACCAAACGTACCGGCAGACAGATTTGTTGTTCTGTAATTTAAGGAGAAGCATGTACTCCATTGCTCCCGTTTAAAAACACCGTCCTCGTCTTCCTCAGGCCGTGCCGAAGGACCAGAGCGCCCAGGACCCGGTGGGCCGTCCCGTCATGCACCGCTCCGGCGTCAGCCACGCCACCGGAGAGGCCATCTACTGCGACGACATCCCCAAAACCGACGGGGAGCTCTTCCTGGGACTCGTCACCAGCTCTCGAGCACACGCCAAGATCACGTAAGCGGATCACGAGGCACCTTTGTGGAGTTTTCTGAGCCACTGTTGGTTGTTTAGAATGCGTTGTTTTGTTTGTCCGACAGAGCTGTGGATGTGAGTCGGGCCCTGCAGCTCCCCGGCGTCGTCGACGTCGTCACAGCCAAAGACATTCCCGGGAAGAAATTCCGCCCAATGTTTGGTTACGAGGAGGAGCTGATGGCGGAGACCGAGGTAGAGTGTTTGAACAGTGTTGTAGATATCAGTTATTTTCGCAACTAGAGTGCCAATAATAGGGAACAACACCTTTAAATACACAATGAAATGTTTGTTTTTGTGCTGAAATACCTCAACAGGACAATTATGAATGTGTTTTGCAGACAGCGACAGTCACAACATTGATTTCAGTTTTGTACTTGAGGCAGCAATTAGGTTTTTTTTGTCTTTTTTGTTCTAAAAAGTACCTTCGTGGAGTAGTTTAGGCCAGCGATCTTCAACCTTTTTTGCACCACGGACCGGTTTTAAGCAAGAAATTTTTCTACGGACCGGTCATTACACACATAACAAATAATAATTGTTTTTTTTTCTGTTGAAAAGTTTCATAAATAAATAAAATTACTTTTTGTTGCTTAACATGTTTACTTTTTCTCCTGTCTCAGTATCAAGTCTCTCCCACTTTCCAAAGCAGCTCTCCTGAGACGTTTGTTGTTGACTGACGGCTTCGTTTAGCAGCCGGGCATAAAAACTGACAGTCCGGGAAACAAACACAAACGGAAGTGACGGGAAGACGAGCTAGTCATGTTTCAAAATAAAACACCCTGCAGACTCCGCTGGAAATAAAAATAAACCAATAAAATGTTTTTATTCTATCTGTGCGGCCCGGTACCAAATGACCCACAGCCCGGTACCGGTCCGCGGCCCGGTGGTTGGGGACCGCTGGTTTAGGCGATCCGAGCGCTGCTTCATTTCAAGTAAATCAGATTTTTAGCACAAACGAGCCTCAGATTGACTGCCAAACGTGAATCTGAAATGTTTCGTCTTCGGTTTACGAGCCAGAATTCCTCCAAGTTTCCGAATATTTCCATGAAAACACGACAAATTTTCTTGAAGCTCTATCTATGTTTCTGTTACTCATGGAAGAACGTCGCACTTGTCGATTCCGGGTTGTTTTCTTTAAATTTCTGTCAAAAAAAAATAAAAAAGTCAAGTCATTTTTTCTCATTTTGCAATTTACAGCATTATAACTTTGTCACAGAAGACATTCCTGAGTTCTCGCTAAGTGTCATCTGAAAATAAAATCACCAAAGTTATCACCAAACCCAGGAACTGTAAACCCAGAAAGAATCGCTGTTTTTTTTTTTTAACTATCAGACAGCCGTTCAACTAAACGGGTGATGTACGGTTCTATCAGGACGTGTAACCAAATCGTAGCACTTTATCAAGATGTGAAAAATTCTCGTTTTTCAGCACCACCGAGAGTTCATTAGTGACTCGGCTGTAAAATATCTGTAGTATGTAGATGTAGAGTACGTAGTTATTGTCCAGTGTTGGCATTTGGAAAAATGTGTAACAACAAAAAAATGCAAAATTCTGAACTTTATGTCTCGGTGAAAAATGAGGAAAAACAAAACGGGAACAAAATATATAAATATTTAAATAGCTTTAGTGTCTGTGGAGATATAGCTGCAATAAAAAGCTCAGAAAGGCATGAGGATGAACCGTAGAATCCGATTTATTCCTTCCCAGTGTGTTTTGGCTTTTTTTAAAAATGGGAGCCACAATTTCTTCGTCACTGTTGGCATCATGTGCATAAAACCGAGCTTATCCATCGAAATACGCCGATACGTTGCCGTTCTTGCTTTTGTTTTTGTCACTCCTCAAACTTGTCAGAGTATTTCCAGTTTTGCACGAACACATGAGCTCCCAGACTTGTGCATCTCGCTCTGCAACCTCGGTCAGGTTTTCTGCTGCTTGTCTGCAGGTTTCTTGCGTCGGTCAGATAATCTGCGCCGTCGTCGCCGACTCGAGGGCTCACGCCAAGCGAGGAGCTGCGGCCGTGAAGATCAGCTACGAGGACCTGCCGGATCCCATTTTCACCGTCGAGGTGGGTCGCGTTTCAGAGCCGCTCGTTTCCAGACGCTAGCTTTAGGTTCGCTCCTCACCGGGTTCTTCTTTTGTTCGAAGGACGCCATCGAGAAGTCGTCCTACTACGAGCCTCGGCGATGGATCGAGCAGGGAAACGTGACGGAAGCTTTTGAAAAAGTCGATCAGGTCTACGAAGGTCTGGGTTTCACTTTGACCTCTGAATAATCAAGCTAAACGGAAACAGACTGATCCTCTCTGAGTGTTTTTGTATCTTCTTTGTGATGGATTCCCTCAGGCGGGATGCGGATGGGAGGCCAGGAGCATTTCTACATGGAGACTCAGAGCATGCTGGTCGTTCCTGTCGGCGAGGAGATGGAGTTCAACGTGTACATCTCCACTCAGTGGCCAACTGGAATTCAGGTGCATTATTGTCTTTTTTCTTGTGATTTAAACTCTTAACAGTGAATCCGGACTCTTATTCTGACCTCAAAACTGATTGTCTGGACTTGAAACTGTCAGACAACGAATCAAATCAAGTTTGTTTACCTGAAACCTGCACAAGTCAGCAGTCAGGAATTTGCAAAAGAGGATAAAATTAAAACATTAAATCAAAGCACACAAGTTATAAAATCAAAGTTTGAGATGCAATAAATTCTTTCTGTCACATATTATTTAAATTATTGGCTCAGTAAAGCTCTCAGGTGGCTTCAGTACAAGTTTTAATTGTTAATTTCTGCCTCGTTATGCTTTTAAATTTCAAAAGTCGTTTTTTAAACGTGACATTTTATGGAGGAAGGCTAGAAATTGGTGACTCTAGAGTGAATTTTTTCTTAAAAATGGCAGTTTAAGACATGTGAGTTAACTGGTTTGTAGCTTCATTAGGAGATAAAGGGGACAGATCTCACCTCCAGGTTGTTTTTTTCATTTAGTTTGTCAGTGATTTGCTTCATTTTCAATCTTTAAACACTCGTGTGCTTCCACAGCAACAGACTCTTGATCAAATGATTAATAACAAACCTGAGCTGAAATCGGAGCATGTCAGGGTTCTGTTTGCTTGTTGTTGCAGGAAGCGGTTGCAGAGACGTTGGGCATCTCGTCCAACAGGGTCACCTGTCACGTCAAAAGAGTCGGCGGAGCTTTCGGAGGCAAGGTCACCAAAACCGGCCACCTGGCTTCCATCACCTCTGTGGCTGCTTTGAAGTAAGTCGCACCTGAACGAACGACCCGGAAACAGCAGCACAAGCGCGGACCAAAAGAAAGCTCTTAAATCGTTGTCTTTTTTTAGGACCAATCGCGCCGTCCGCTGCGTCCTGGAGCGAGGCGACGACATGTTGATCACAGGAGGCCGGCATCCCGTCCTGACAAAATACAAGGTACGGCCACGGCATCGAGGGTCTCCAGAGCAGGTTACGGAGTAAAAACTTCAGTGGAGCAGGGATTTTTCTACCTTCACTTCTCGGGTTTGTTGAAATATGCAAAATATTCCACTGAAATAAAGAATAAAATAAAAAGAATCCTAATAATATCCTTGAGACACTTGAAGAAAATAAAACAAATACCTAAAAAAACATTAAGCTGCCCAGGTTACACTGTGTGGTCGTGTCCGCTGTAAATATTCTATCAAGTATAGATTTTTATTATAGCAATATATAAATATAAACAATAATAAAGTCTAAAAAACAAGTACAGATTTTTTGTTCTTTATCTTCTCTGTTTCCACACATTCACTTTTAAATAAAATAATAAAGAACCTTAAAGTCTCAGCTGTTGTTTTAATTGGTTTACATGAATATAAACAGAGGCATGTGGGATATACAGACCTTTAAACACTCTGAGACCAATTGCAATAGTTAATAATAGAATTTTGAACCCACTGAAATATAGAAAAGTCAGATTGTATGTTGTGTTTATTCATGCAAAGACCGACTGTTAAATCATTAAAACCCTGTGATGAGCCTCCCTGTTGCTTTCAGGTGGGCTTCATGAAGGACGGCAGGATCGTGGCGGTGGACATCGAGTTCTACGCCAACGCCGGCAACACTGCGGACGAATCCACTCTGGTAGGTCGAGGAGGTTTTAGCGCTGCTGCAGGAAGTTTTTATTTTATTTCTTTTTTTGTCTGAACGTCTGGATTTTTTCAGGTCGCCGAGAAGATCCTGCTTCACATGGACAACGCCTACAACATCCCCAACCTGCGAGGACATGGAGCCGCCTGCAGGACCAACCTGCCCTCCAACACCGCCTTCCGGGGCTTCGGTGTGCCTCAGGGCCTCTTCTTGATGGAGAACATGGTCAACGACGTGGCGGCGGTGCTGGGACGCCCTGCAGACGAGGTCCAACCACATTCATCTGCTTCAGAAGCCCTGTCTAGCTCTTATCTTCGTCTGAACGCCCCAGCAATGAGTTCTGCTTTTACACCTTCAGATCCGTGAGATCAACATGTACAAGGGCCCGTCGGTCACCCACTACAAGTGCGAGTTCAGCCCCGACAACCTGCATCGCTGCTGGGACGAATGCAAGCTCAAATGCGACTACAGCTCCAGGCGCAAAGCCGTCGACCAGTTTAACCAGCAGAGCCGCTGGAAGAAGAGGGGGATGTCCATCATCCCCATCAAGTACGGCATCGCCTTCGCAGAGGGCTTCTTAAACCAGGTCTGTTGGCTTTCATTCGGTCTCTCGTGCATCTGGAGAAGAAAGACTCAGCTCGTTGTTCAAAAGAATGCTCTTCTGTGTTTGTCTGTGTGAAAGGCTGCAGCTCTGGTCCACATCTACAAAGACGGTTCTGTTCTGGTCACTCACGGAGGGACGGAGATGGGTCAGGGGATCCACACCAAGATGCAGCAGGTATGACGAACACATCAACATCCAACAAGTCATACATCCATCCATTAAAACAGGTTCATTTTCTGTAAAAACAGGGCACACACAGAACGTTCACTGCTGCATTTTCTCATGCTAGTTTATTAGCAAATGTTGAACAACTTTTCGATCAAGAGGATCTTCGCTCGAGGCACTTTTTCACTGAGAATTCCAGCATCCAGCAAGTAAAAAACATCCTCCATTAAAAAAAAAAAAGAATTATTATTTTTTATTATTAATAATAAATAGTAAAAATGGCACAAAGTAAATCAACTAAACATCACAGAAATGAAAAATAAAAGATACAAAACTAGAAACAAGAGAGAAACTATCATGAGGGTAAAATATTAAGTTGATTCAAATAAATAGAATTAGAATTAAAAGATATTATGACAAAACAAAAATAAAAGTCCAATAAGAGAAACAAAATAGTGTCATACCATACAGTATAAATACATAACAAAATAGAAAACTACAATAAGATGCATATTGAAATAAACAAAATAATAATAATAGGATAAAATAAAGAAACAGAAAAAAAGAATAAATAAAAAAATTATAAAAAAATAAACAAAATATATAATGCGTAAATAAAAAGAAAACATATAAATTAAAATATACAAAAAAGTAATAAATACAAACAGAAATAAATGAATAAATGTAAATATATATATATATATATATATATAATAAACAAAATATGTAATGCATAAATAAAAAGAAAACATAACAATTAAATTATGCAAAATTATAATAGAATAAATAAAAACTACCAGAAAAAACTGAATAGACATAAAGAAAAATGATTTAAAAAATGTAAAAAAATATATAATGCATAAATAAAAAGAAAAAATAGTGATTAAAATATACAAAATAATAGAATAAGATAAAGACTAACAGAAAAAACTGAATAAATGTATAGAAAAATTATCAAGAGATAAGCAAAATATATAATGCATAAAAAAATTCATAAAATATACAAAATAATAATAGAATAAAATAAGTACTAACAGAAAAAACTGAATAAATGAATAGAAAATAAGAAATAAATAAATATATAAAGCAGAAATATAAAGAAAAACATATTAATTCAAATATACCAAATGTTATCATAAAATAAACAGAAAAATATATAAGAAATTGATTCATTAAATCATCAATCATCATTTTATTTAATGTGTATCAATCCGCCGCTGAAAATAGTCCCCAATAGAAGAACTTGTTTGCTAAGAACTGCAGTGTTTCAGTAAATCGCTGAGCTTTGTTTTTTTCTTCCTTAGAAAGAAATGACAGAACAACACCATCAGTCACCGCTTGTGTCTGTGTTTGCCGTTAGGTTGCCAGTCGGGAGCTTCACATCCCGACCTCGAAGATCTACATCAGCGAAACCAGCACCGGCACCGTCCCCAACACCTGCCCGTCCGCCGCTTCGTACGGCACCGACGCCAACGGCATGGCGGTCAAGGTTCGGCCTCTTTTCAACCAACGAGCTCTTTATTGTTGCTGTTGTGACTGTTCTCACCGATGGTGTTTCCTCTCAGAACGCCTGTGAGATTCTGTACCAGCGGCTGGAGCCAATGAGGAAGAAAGACCCCAAAGGATGCTGGGAGAGCTGGGTACGATTTGATAGGAGAGGAAACAAAAAAACATGACAAGAAGGAGAGGGAATGCAGAAATGTCTTCTGTGCACAGTTAGAATGACAGAAATATCATCGAATTATACAAAAAAACGTCATCACAGCTGACACATTAATGGCTTCATGGTTCTGGCTAGAAGCGCCAGACTTTTTGTTTTGTACCAAATTTTGTTCCTGCAAACCATTTCTTTATAGCCGAGAGACGAGCTGAGAGGTAGAATAATGTGATTTATGGTGAAATATCACAGTTTTAGGGTCAGATTTGGTTAATTTTACGGACTGAAAGTCACACAAGTAGTTCAGATATCAGTTGATTCTTTGTTTTCTGACTAAAAGGTTCACTTAGCTTTCTAACCTCCCCGTGGGTTGTGGGATTCAAAATGTTAAATAAATGTAAATAGAGTCTCTTTAGTCAAGTTGTTTTGAACACCAGGTCAGAGCAGCGTTTTTGGACAAGATCAGTTTAACAGCGACTGGAATTAAATGGTCACATTTTGGCGAGATTTTTAAAAAACATGGCTCGTATTTCAAATTCCAGGTTTCGGGGCTCAGATTGTGCTTTGATTTATTTTCAACGCAGGTCAGAGCGGCGTTCTTCGAGAAGATCAGTTTGTCGTCGACTGGATATTACAGGTAGGACAGAAAGCTGCTTCGCCTCCGTTTGAACTGTTGGTGAATTCAGAAGCGGTGAGCGGCGTCGTCCTGTTTGTCCTCAGGGGTCCAGATCTCTACATGGACTGGGAGAAGAAGGAGGGTCGGCCCTACGCCTACTTCACGTACGGGGTTTCCTGCAGCGAGGTGGAGCTCGACTGTCTGACGGGAGACTACAGGGTCCGACTCGAGAGTTTCATTTCAGCTCTGAACGTCGCAGCAGTCTGATTTGTTTTCAGAATTTGAAGGAACTTTTTTTTTTCTGTTTTGTTTGCTCCTCGCAGACGTTGAGGACGGACATCATGCTGGACATCGGCAGGAGCGTCAACCCGTCTGTGGACATCGGACAGGTGAGCGTGGCTGCAGAGGACCGAGGTTTTGATCTTTTAGTTCGGCGACGAAATCTGCAGAAGCGACGTGATGAATCAGTTTGACGAGGAGCTGCTTTTCCTTATTACGTCACCTTTGCGCGTTTGGATTGTGTGTTTTTTGTCCTCAGGAGCTTCCGTAAATCGGGTTTCAGTGTGTAAGATTTTGCAGTCCTTCGAGGGAACTCAGTGAAACAACTATTCCTTTCTATTCTCAAACTCATGGTGTTGTTCTGCCCATTAAAGCTAATTACAGGATCCACTACCAAACTTTTAAAAGGATTGAATCACGTTTTCTTTTTTTTGCACAGAAATAAGCAAAACTTTCCAGAGAGAAAGTTGCCGAATTTGCTCATTAATTGCTTTCCTTTCCCCTGCTGTCAGATCGAAGGCGCCTTCATGCAGGGTTTGGGTCTCTACACTCTGGAGGAGCTCAAGTTTTCCCCCTCTGGCCTTCTGTACACCCGAGGTCCGTCTCAGTACAAGATCCCGGCGGTCTGCGACGTCCCGCTTCAGTTCAACGTCTACCTGCTGCCGGACACCGACAACCCTCACGCCATCTACTCCTCCAAGGTCCTCTCCAGCACCATTTTGGTTCTGTTCCCGCCCTGTTTTCTGTCCACTCTAACCGGCCTGTCGCTCGCCTCTGCAGGGTATCGGAGAACCCGCCGTCTTCCTGGGCAGTTCGGTGTTCTTCGCCATCAAGGACGCCGTGGCCGCAGCTCGCTCCGACTCCGGTCTGGTCGGCCCGTTTGGTTTGGACAGTCCTGCGACGCCGGAGAGAGCCTGTCTGGCCTGCAGCTCCACGTTCACGCAGAAGGTAGTCGCTTTTTTGTGGCACGCAATCTGTTTTTAGTGCAAAATCTGCTAAAAGGAAGTATTTCAATCTTCATGAAGCACTTTCCGGAAAGAGTTAAATTGACGAGTTTTAAGTCGTACAAGGAAGAAGTCTGAATGAAGTAATGATGTAGAATATAAAAATAAGAGCTCTGTTGCTTTGCAGCATTTTTATTTTAGGTTTTCTATTTGACAGAGTGAAAAAGACAAAAAAAAAAGAAAGAAATTAAAACCCAGGAAATCCACTGTGATCTATGAACTAATTGATTTGTGAATGTTTTATGTTTGGTTTTGTTTCCAGATTGCGACCAGCGAGCCGGGATCTTTCAAACCGTGGGCCTTAAACCTCTGAAAGTCAAACTGAAGCCAAACCGCTTCACTAACCAACACAGTTATCTGACTAATAGTGCTAACGTCTCCACATGCAAATGATCAACAAACATGAAACTCGTGACTGAAATCGTCCTGCTCGCTGATCCTTAACCGCCTAAAATGTGAACTCGATGCTTTGTGACCGCTTGATTTGACAGTTTCTCTGTAGCAAAATAAATAAGTGAACAAACGCAGAACACATGAAATAAAGGCAGCGCTTCATCTTTATTCACCCAGTGGCAGGAAAAACACTGGCAGCAGAAGCTGAAGTCGAATGTTTGCTGAACTAACGCACATCTGTCTTCTTGTGGACCGAGGCTGATCAAACGTCGATGCACCACGCGGCTGCAGCGTCGCCGGTCGGAGATGAAACCTGCAGGAAGAAGAAGAAGAAGAAGAAGAAGAGCAGTTAATGAGGTGTTTGACAGGAGGAGGTTAGAAAATGCAAGTAAGGAGACAGTTCTGGGTGAAACATGCGGCATTAACGATGTGTTTAAGGTTGTTTCAGAGTGAAAATGGACAAACTGCAAAAAAAAAGAAAAGGCTTCATTTGTTCTCTTGGTGGTTTAATCTATAAATTGTTGAAAAATAGTTTAAAAACTAGCATTTTTGTTAGCGTAGAATGATGTTAAAGCTTAAGATGCTCATTTTAATGTCACATATTGCAAATAAAAGTTTTAAATCGTCACATGTAAGAAACTGGAATCCTTTGACATTTATACCTGAAAAGTGACAAAATACAGGTTAAACTTTCAAACAGTCTGTGTTTAGTGCACAAGAAGTGTAATTATGTTTGTGAAATTATTAAATTTGTTCTCATTTGGATTATTATGGCCTAAAGCTCACAGAAATTAGAAATTCTGTATCTCAGAATATTTTTATATTTCCAAAGATCAATCCAAAAAAAAAGGGAATATTCAATATAATATTTCACTACATTATTTTGTGATACTGGATTTTGGATTTTCATGAGCTATAATCAAAATTTAAACCAAATTGAATGTTTTACGTTGCATATTTGATGATAATTATAACTTTAATGAATTAAAAACACTAGAAAGAGCTGTAAAAAAAAACTTCTTTAATACTTTACATTACCCATATATGAGTCAATACGCACAGAGAGGCACAAACACTGTTTTAAATGTGTCAAACACAAGTCAGACTGAGTTTAAATGAAGCTTTGTTGAGGCCAAATGACTTGATCCTCTCAGGTCTGTGTCTGTCCCAGCATGCTCTGCTACCATGGGCGTAG